TTCTTAGAGATATATTTATATTTAAAATGAACCATTTGAACTAAAATTCACACAATGATGAAAGTATAATTCACTTGAGAACCAAGCAAAAGATGTCATTATTTCTCCTTTTTACAAATAATTTGCTAAGCATCTGACAGCTAGACAGTGAATAAAATAAATTGGTGACTTTGAGGTGTGGTATGGGACAAGAGTACCAAACATCCAGGGACTGCCAAAAGAACAATCAAATATGTCTTGGAGAAAGTGCAGCCAGAATGTTCTTTGGAGGAAAAAATGATAAAACTTCTTTTCTCATACTTTCTGCATGTTGCTAAAAGAAGCTATTCTTTGGAAAGAGCCATCATGTTTGGAGAGGTGGAGGGTCAGTGAATGAAAGTGAGACTTTCAACCAAATGAACTGACACATTAACTCTTCCATTGGGCTCCAGCATGTCAGGAAGTTTGAGAATGGCACAGGCTAGCACAGGGTTTAGATTTGTTTTTTATAGACTCACAATGGGTTATACTAGACTCAATGGCACCTAACAATAACAACAACAAATGGCAAAACTGAGCTCAGGAAGATCTAAGAAAAGACCCTGAGGTATTAAAGCTCTTAGGTAACAGGTCTAAAATTTGGATATAGGGTTATTTGACATCAAACTCTTTAGTCCTGAAGGAACAATAGAAATAAAACTTAGAAAAGTTTAAGAGATTAGAAAAGAAGATTAGAAAGATTATGAAAAACAGACAAAAGGAGATGAAAGAAACCCCAGACAAAATGTGTCATTGCTTTCACAAAAGTAGTTGTTGGTGGGCTAATTGTAACTGAGAGAAAAAAACAACCCACAATATTGAACACAATTTACATACATGAAACACAATGTATACGAATAATAGAAATATTAATTAAAAAAAATGCTACATTTCATTCAAATTTATGTCATTGAATAGTTGATGTTATACTTTTATTTATATGCTTTCATTTGTATTCTAGTTACTTTAAACTTCTATTTAATTTGCTTTTTTGGTCATAAAGGAAAAAATAAACCTGAGAAACTATTATGAGAAAATAAGTAGACATGGCAACTAAATGGGTAGAAACATGGATTGAACTTTAACCAGGTAAAGGGCATTACTGAAAAACTGATGAAATAAGAACAATGTCTATGGCCTATTATCTTACCAAAATTAATTTTTGGTCTTTATTGTTCTATTTTAATAGATCTTTTGTTCACAGGGTCACTATGAGTTTTATTTGATATGATGGCTCCTAACAACAACAATATATCTATTCAAGATACTGTATTAAGATTAGCTGAGTAAAAGTTGCATTATAATACTATTTAATATTTGCAACTTTTCTGTTTATTTAAAAGTAATTTTCAAATGAAAAGACAAAAAAACTCATATGCTTTCTAGTGTTTCATTAAAATTGAATTTAAATATATTTTAATATCTCTCTAATATTAATTAGATAAGATTGGGTTCCATATCAAAAGTTTACAGAATCCTACAGGACCTCCCCAAGACTGGTAACACAATTACAAAATGGGCAAAAGACATGGAAAGAATTTACACAGAGAAAGATATTCAGATGGCCAACACACATATACACATGAAGATATGCTCAAAATCACCAGCAATAAGAGAGATGCAAATCAAAACCACAATGAGATATCATCTCACTCCAGTAGCAGTAGCAAAGTTTAAAATGACAGCAAACCATAAATGTTGGAGAGGATGTGGTGAAACAGAACGTTTTTATACATTGTTGGTGGGATTGTACAATGGTACAATCACTCTAGAAGGCAGTTTGGCATTTCCTCAAAAAGCTGAGCATAGAAATTCTATATGACCCAGCTATTCATTGTTTGGAGCAATGAGAACTGAGGCACAAATGGAGACTTGTACACCAATGCTCATAGCAGTGTTAGTCACCATTCCAAGAACATAGAAACAGCTCAAATGCCCAATCACAATCAAATGGATTGAGTAATTATGGTACATTCACACGATGGAATACTATTCAGCACATAGGAGCAATGATTTTTAAAATTAAGGTGGTTTTTTTAAAAACTTGGAAAGACTGGAGAGCATTATGCTAAGTGAACTCAGTCCCATAAGGATAAATACCATATAAAACCATTGTAGAGTGAGTATGAGGATCCAAGTGGGAATGAGAGGGGGAGCAGCAGAGGGCTGTGGATGAGAGGGGTATTAATCATAGGGTTGCACAGTTTGATGGGTGGAGGTGGGGGAGGGTTATGGAAGTGGGAATGATCCAGTGTGAAAAACAATGTATATGAACTGTCTCCAGCATAAAATAAAAATGAAGAACAAAAATTTATTAAGTTGTATAAACTTTAAAAATACTTTTCCCCTGTTTTTTAGGGGAATTAATTAAATATTTTTATATACTTTTAAAATTTGAATATTAACCATATTCAAGGACTTCCAAATGTGTACTGTTTTAGTTATTTGCACAATTTAAGTAATATCAAAAGAGCCAAGTTTCAAGGGAGCACTGGTGGCCTAGTCGCAAGAAGCTGTGCTGCAATATGGAAGACATGCTGTTCAAATACAGCAGATGTTTTGCTAGAGGAGGGCCAATTGCCTCCTGCAACAGTTGGATCAGATTCGATGGTACACAACAAGAAATAACCAAAACAAAATAGCCAGTTTTCCAAGTATATAAATGAATATTTATAATTTAATTGTTCATATAATAATATAATTTTCTAATCCTAGCTTGCCTCCGGAAACTCTGTGAACTTGGAGAAACAATGAAAGATATACAAGGGTTCAAGTCTTTCATTCATAGGATCATTATGAGTCATCTACAACTCGATGGCACTTACCACACCACCAACATAGAGCTGTGTGGACCTGGTGGATAGAAAGTTACGCTAACAAGTCAATGGTGGGTGATTTCAATCTGCGGCCTTCACGACTCATTCTAATGGGTTTTGGTCAAACGTTCTTCTGAGTGGTATAGCACTGGTCTGTCCATTTGCTGTATAGAGGTACATGGTCATGGTTGCTGTGATGCTAAACACTATGAAACTGATGTGTCAAATGTGATAATGGTTACTAATAGTGGACAGTGTTTCGTGGAGCTCCCCAATTAAAGCAAGCTTGGAAGCAGGAGGGCATCCACTTCTGAAATAGCTGTCTCTGGAAACTATATGAACTTGGAGAAATGATGAAAGTTACACAAGTGTTCAGGTCTTTCATTCATAGGGTCACTATGAGTTATCTACTACTACTCGATGGCACTTAACAACAACAACAATCCTAGAAGGTGGCTTTATGGCAAGAAACTGCGCTGCAATCCAAAAGGCACAGGAGTTCAGGCCACCAGCTGCTCTGCAGAGAAAACTGAGCAATCTCTTTCCATGCAATTGATTAACTTCCTCTGAAAACCCGCCAGAGGATCAGCTAGGGTCAGTTCTAACTCAACAGTACACAGCAACAACATAATCATAGAAAGTGTCCATAAGTAGTATACTTTCTTTGAAAAATATATTTCTTATATATTTATTTACATTCTGTTTATATTTATCACATTTAACTTACTTTTATTGATAGCCTAAGAAATAATAGCTATTTCAAAGGCTTAGATTTGTAGCATATAAAATTAAAATCAGTCACATCTAAATAATCTTATTCTATGAATTTTGCAAAGAATAGCATGCCGATGTGCAATTTGTGATTTAAAGAACAAATTTTGCAAAAGTGAATAAACTTTACTATTCATATTATTAGTGTACTTCCATTTTAAAAGCTTAATTATAAACTTCAAATAATAGATTGTGTATAAGAACACACGATCTAGAGCTAGACTATCTTGTCTAAAATCTTTTTTCCATTATCTGCTAATTTTATAAACATAAGCAAATTATTAATTTCTATGTCTCGTATTTTTTACCAGTAAAATAAGGCTAATTACAACTAATTCTTGGTTATTTTTATAATAAGGCAATACCTTTAAAAGTCTTTCAGATGCTATTGGTTGAGACAAAAGTAGCTCTATAATACAGGTTTATTTGGGATTTTTTAATCACAAGCTGTGACTAAGCTTGAACGTTTGGAAGATTCATTTATGTCCAGATTTATTTAAATTCCTGCAATTAAAAATTTGATCCTAATAAAATAGTGTAGATTTAGTTAATTAAAAATAAAAAATTAATCAACTTTCATTGTTTTTACTAGTTTTCTGACTTGTAATGTCAATAATCTTTGAAAAATGTTTAGGACTTAAATTTTATTAGACTTAATTATGAAATGATACCTGTTCATAGCTCATGTAACACTATCTGTTAAAAAAATAACTTATTCCTATATTTGAATTTTGGAAATAAGTTCAGATTGTATTCTAACTTATTTTTACTAATATTCTACAAAGTTACAATGAAGTAACTGAATGCAACATAAATATCTTGTGTAAATACAAAAGTTAATAAAATACACAACTATGATAATGGAGATAAAGAAATAAAAATTTATATAAATATGCTTTCAGTAGCTAATTTAGTCTGAATTACCTGGTTCAGATCCATTGATTGCCAGCCAGGACACCACAATTAATCCAGCACAAAGTACTACCAATATGGAACAGAGCGCTGTAAACACAACTTCGTAGGAGCTGAGAGAACAGCACTTTGAGTATACACTTCTTTTTGAATTCATTTTTGGTTTTTGAAGTCTAAGAACTATGTGAGCATATAGAAGTCTGCATCAGTTGGAGAGCAAAATTCTTCAGTTCTTTATAAATATTTGCAAAGCCACACTGTCTACCGTCATGTAGGACAGAGTGAACAAGATATATGAGTCGATCTAGAAGTATTAAGTCTCTATACATTAAGAAGCTCTGTAAGGGCAGTTAATCTTTAAGAAATGTAAATGAGTAAAGAAATGTTTGGAGCTATAAATATTAGTCACCTGAACAGTTCATTTGTTGGCGTGAATGAAGTATGATTACAACAAAAATGACACCTTATCATTTTGAGAACTATTACAAAAATTATGAAATTCATGGCAGACAAATTAGTCATAAGTCAAATAAGTCATGTTCTTGATATTTATTTTTAGAGAGATATTTTATTTTTATAGATCAACCTTTGACCCTTTACTCAGGTCATTATTAAAGCATTTATCTTTTTCTATGTGGGTGTAGACACACAAAATTTTATGTTCAGAAGTACATAAAGCCTAAAATGTATCTCTCAATCAAAATGTAAAAATTATATATCATTTATTGGAACATTTTTAACTTGTGTAACCTTTATTATATTATTTATACGACTTTATGCAATACAAATCATTATTGATCTAACTGAATTTAAGCTCAATTAAAAAATATATATCATATGGCTTCTTTTTGATCTTGTGAATTTATCAATGAATGAGAGTATGTGTCACTAGAGGTTTAAAGCACTTGTTTCTATTTTAAGACTATATTCTGCTTGAGGAGGACATTGCTCACTTAAGTTGGACTTTATCTCATTAATTAAATAGGTTGTGACGATTACCCTTGTAATTATAGACCTTTGCTTTATAGGAGAGTCAAGACTTATATGAAATACAAAAGTACATTTCTTATTAGAACTTTTTTACCTTGCATGACAATGAATCTAGAATGAAACAAACTAATAAATTCAAATGTATTCTGAGCTTAGTCAATTTGTATTTTACTATAATAATCAAATTTGTCTAGAAGTAAGGAACTGCCACTTAGGGCCCATCATATACTAAACTGGAGCTATTATTAGTTTCAAAGAGCAGTCAGTCACTTTATTTTCTTCTTTCCAGTTTTGTTTTTTTTTAAAGGTGTATATTTCATGCTGGAATTCTTTACCAAAATAACAACAACAACAATAAAAAGTCATTGCTATTGAGTAGGCTATTCCTTAGTTTGTTGTTGTTTTTGTGTACCTTCAGGTCAAGACTGAACCATAGCTGACCCTCTCTGAGTTTTCAGAAGCAGCATATCACAAGGGATGAGATTGCCCATCTTCCTTCTGCAGAGCATCTGTTGGAATTGAACTGCATATCATTGGGTTGATAGTGCAATTCCTTACCACTAAGTCACTGCAAGGGAGAAAATGCTCCCATACAACAAATGGTAGCTTCCTGTCACTATCCGTTCAGTTGGCATGCAACTCCTTACCACTAAGCCACCAGAGAGAGCTACATTATAGAAGTCACTAATCACTGATATCTAATTGTCCTAAAATATTCTCTTCCTTTTTCTCAAGCTACAAACTCAACAGTTTGATCTGATTTTGTGCAAATATTTTGGTATCATTGAAAATTATTAGGGCTATTTTGAGTTTTACATAGTAAAACTTCTTACAAAGAAGAAGATTCAGTAGTTGGAAAACATGCACTCAGTGACAGAAATGGAGCTGGAGAGAGAATGATCGAATTTTGCACAATCAATGACAATCAATGACAATCATAGCAAATACATTTTTAAGAGACATAAATGCAGGTTATATACCTGGATTTCACCTGATGGCATGCATAGGAATCAGATTGATTACAT